GTCCTTTACATCATGCTGGCAATAAGTTAAAATAAACAGTTGCAATAAATAATACTCATTTAAAGCAATTAAAAAACTAGCCGAGGTAAAGTGTCATTATCAGTTCCCTTTTGCCTTCTCTCAGGCTTCTCCTATTGACGCAGCCTAAAATGGCATTGGCCTTTTCAGCTGCAGCATCACACTATTGGCTTGTGGTTGGCGAAGATCTCTTTCACAGAATCCTAAAGTTGGGAGGGACCTCTAAAGGCCATTTAGTCCAACCCCCTTCATTTTGCCATCATGTAGGGAAAGCAAAATCAAAGCACCCCTGACAGATGGCCATCCAGCCTTAATATTCACATGAATAATAATAATAATAATAATAATAATAATAATAATAATAATAATAAAGTTGGGAGGGACCTCTAAAGGCCATTTAGTTCAATCCCCTTCATTCTGCCTTCTTGCAGGGAAAGCACAATCAAAGCACTCTCGACAAATGGCTATCTAGTCTTATTAATATTAATAATGGTGTTGGAAGGGAGCTCTAAAGGCCATCTAGTCCAACCCCCTTCATTCTGCCTTCATACAGGGAAAGCACAATCAAAGCAGCCCTGACAGATGGCCACCCAGCCTCAACAACAATAACATTAATACTAATAAAAGTTGGAAGAGACCCCAAGGGCCATCTAGTCCAACCCTCTTCTGCCTTAATGCAGCAGGAGCACAATCAAAGCAACCCTGGCAGACAGCCAACCTTTCTCAATAATAATAATAATAATAATAATAACAATAAGATTCATACTAATAAGTCTGAGGAGACCCCAAGGGCCATCTAGTCCAACCCCCTTCTGCCTTAATGCAGCAGAAGCACAATCAAAACACCCCTGACAGACAGCCAACCTTTCTCAATAATAATAATAATAATAACAATAAGATTCATACTAATAAGTCTGAGGAGACCCCAAGGGCCATCTAGTCCAACCCCCTTCTGCCTTAATGCAGCAGAAGCACAATCAAAACACCCCTGACAGATAGCCAACCTTTCTCAATAATAATAATAATAATAATAATAATAATCATACTAATAAGAGTTGGAAGAGATCCCAAGGGCCATCTAGTCCAGCCCCCTTCTGCCTTCATGCAGCAAATGCATAAAGCACCCAACAGACGGCCACCCAGCTTCAAAAATAACAACAACATTAATAAAGGGGTTGGAAGAGATCCCAAGGGCCATCTGCTCCAACCCCCTTCTGTCTTTCCCTGCTCCCCCCTCCCCCCCGCCTCCTTCCTCGGCAGCAGCAGCGACGACAGAGGAGAAGGGAGCCCCGGCGGCTTTGCTATCCTCCTCTCTCGGCCCCTGCGCAACCACGGTGCGAGGAGGCAGAAAAGCTGCACATGGGGCAAGAGAGGGAAAGGCACGCACCTCTCCCCCTTCTCTCTCACCCCACGCATGCCTTCCTTGGCAGCGATGGTAAAGGTGCTCATGGGGTGAGAGAGGAGGGAAAGGGGCGCACCTTTCCCTCCCTCACACACCTTTCCTGCCTGCAGCACTGAGGAAGGCATCTGCGGGGCGAGGGAAGAGGAGGGAAAGGTGCACACCTGCGGAGGCCTGCACAGGCTAAAGTCTGCTTGCTGCTTACCCCAGTGCAGGTCTCCGCAGGTGTGCACCTTTCCCTCCACTTCCCTCACCCCGCAGATGCCTTCCTCGGCGCTGGAGGCAGCAGCAGGAGCAGCGCGGCGCAGGCCAGACGCTCCCTTGGCCCCAATTTGGCCCAGGAAGGAGGGACGCAGAGTGAGAAAGGCTGCCCTCCAGCCTCCTTCCTCACGCTGCCTCTTTCCTCACTGAGCCCAGCTGGGG